GTCCTTAATATCGGGTTGCATAAACAGACGCATAGAATACAAATACAATAGCAGAGTTGGAAGGGACCTTGGAGGTCTTCTAGTCCAACCCCCTGCCTAGGCAGGAAACCCTATACCATTCCAGACAAATGGCTATCCAACATCTTCTGAGAGATTTCCAGTGTTGGGGCATTCACAACTTCTGGAGGCAAAAGATCTCGATATCTCGGATGACGTTGAGTCTCAAAAATCCTCTTTGGAAGGAAATTCTGAGGAACGAAGGGGGGAGACGGAGAATTGCGGCCTTGTCTGGTTCAACCCTTTGCCGTATGCAGGGAAATTGCAGGCAGTCCTCGACTTACGACCGTAACCGAGGCTAAGCGAGGCAGTGGTAAAGTGAGTTTTGAGCCGTTTTACGATCTTTCTTGCCACCGTTGTGAGGTGAAGCCAGATTCGCTTCACAACGAGGTGGCTAAATTAACCATTGCAGCGATTCGCTTAACAACGGTGGCCAGAAAGGTCGTAAAACAACAGGAACGTGGGGCTCCATCGTGGTCGTAAGTCGAGGACTACTTGGAAATAGACATAAACAACAGGTAGTCCTTGAGTTACCACCACAGCTGAGCTCAACATTTATGAAACATTTGTTAAATGAGTTTGCCCCATGGTTTACGACTTTTCTTGCCCTGGTTGTTAAGCGAATCACGGTAGTTATTAAGTTAGTCGTACCGCAGTTGTTAAGTTAGATACCTCCTTTCTTTCCATGGTTGTTAAGTGAATCACTGCCGTCCTTAAATCAGTAACACGGTTGTTAAGTGAATCTGGTTTCCCCCATCGATCGCAAAAGCGGATCCGGGGAACCCCAGAACATTGCGACCGTCATAAATATGAGTCAGTTGCCAAGCGGGTGAATTTGGGTCACGTGACCACGGGGAATGTTACAACAGCGAGAAAAATGGCCGTCTGACATTTTTTTCCATACTGTCGTAACTTCGGACGGTCGCTAAGTGAGCTGTTTGTAAGCCGAGGATTACCTCTACAAGGAAATAAACACGATCGGTTCCTGCTTTCTCATCCCAACAGGTTTCGACGCAGATTTGATCACTTTGCTTCCGGCGTTGAGTAAGAACAAGTCTTTGAAACATCTCTGGCTCGGGAAGAATTTCAATGTCAAATCGCGGTGAGTTTTTTGGAGGGGGGCGGGGGGGAAACAGGCGCCATATTTCTGCACCCAGTGAAGTTAGAAGAGTTTTGGGGCTGGGCCACGATCTCAATTGTAATAAGCCGACCATGGAAGCAGTTTGTTTCTCCATTTTCAATCTCGGCAACTTTACGACGGGGGTTGAATTTATGTTTTTACCGACAAAGAAATAAAGGAAGACTACCGTATTTTTCAGAGTACAAGATGCACCTTTCCCCACCCCAAAAGAGCGTGTAAATGTTGGTGCGTCTTATACACCGAAAAGAGCCATTTTTGGCCTCCCGAAGCCCAGCCCCTTGCATCCCAGATTTGCTTTCCCCCAGCCGCCAACAGCACTCTGCAGGTTTCAGCAGGACTGGGGGAAAGGCAGAACTGCCCCCGCTTTTGCAAAAAAACCAGTCTGTTTTCTGCCCGGTTTTTTGCAAAAGCGGGGGCAGTTCTTTGCCTTCCCCTAGCTCTTCTGAAGCCTGCATAGTGCTCCTGGGGGCCAGGGAGGAGAAAAACCTA